ATATCTTATATATTTTAAAAATAAATATATTATAAAAGATGTTGTATTTAAAATTAATATACCTTCTTCTGTCAAACACCTTTTCTCAACCATGACTAATAATATCTTACTTCTCATTAAGAGCTGCAAAGGCACCTGTTGTCCATTATCATAACATAGAATTATTCTTAGCAAATATCATTTCAATGCAGATAACAGCTTGTCCGACTTGTATATGACTAGAAACAGACCTGCATTTTGTATATACTTAAATGCAGATTTGTAATGATATACATACATATATATATATATATATTCACTTTGTAAAATTAAGCACTTTAGAAAATAGTTTTCTTTTTAAAGCAGCAAATATATTATAATAAAAATAAAGGAAATTAATATTATTATGCAAATAAAAAGGTAACAGTATTTAAAATAAATTTATTTACAAGAGCTAAATATTTAATATGTATTTACAAAGTTTGTACTTGCTTTTTTAACTTTACGGATTGTTCTTTTAATTTAAAATATAACTTATTTTTCAAATTATAAATTGTAAACAATAATTAAACATAAAATTAACTTAATATGAGATACATATACTAATATAGAAGAGACAGATTAATTTCATATAACAATATCCAAATTTAAAAAATTTATAACTTTATTTTAATAATTCAATAAATATGTTGGATAGAAATCATTATCATTTCATAGAAATATGATTTATAATATTTTCAACACAAACTATATACATATATAATTTATACAATTAAAAAGTGAAAAGCACACATTAAAATCATGATAGCCTAAAATTCATTTTCATAAAAGTATTGAATATTGTTTCTCTTTGCAACAATTCGTTGGGTTAATTAAATAAAATTTTATTCTTTTTAAGATAATTTTCTACAAATTTCTTTATTATATTTTCATGAAACACAATTAATAATATACTGTAGTAAATACAACAAAAATCATATTACATTTCTAAAGACATTACTTTTCATTATTTGTTCTGCCTATCAAAAATATATCTGTCATGTTTCATAAATTTTGTATTTGCCCAAGAATATAACTTGGCTTAACATTTGATAATCGTTTTTCTATATCAATCTTTTCTATCATAATACCAATATATAAATAATTTTGCCTATTCCTGAAGGTGTAATTTCTTTTTTTAATATTAATATTTATTTCCCCAAATACTAGTAAATTCCTCAAATTTAATGCACTCTTTAAAACAATTTTATGACTATTTTCATTTTGGAAACTCTAGATTTCTTACAATTATCAATTACTTGTGTTGTTTTACTCTTTAAATATACAGCTCTTAACATATTTACAGTTACACTCGTAAAAATATGCAATACAATTTATCTACAAAAAGATACAATCCAAGAAACTAACTATGAATTTGTGTAATATACATAAATGAAATAAAAATGCAGTGTGTAGTTCTATTAACTTACTAAATACAGTTACATCATTGAAAAAATGAACCCATATCTCTCAATTAATAAACAATTAACATTCCTTTTTTTATCTTTTGTTTATCAAAATACAGTATTTAAAACATTTACGTTTACATACTTATAAACATTAGAAAATACTTATACTATCCAAATTAATTTGAATAAAAGAAGCAAAAGGAAATGAATAAACATTGATGATTACAAATATATAAATTACTAATACACAGAATAAAAACACGTTGATTTTTATAACTATAAATTTTGCATAGTTCTACTTTAATTGTATCTTTTAAATACATAAAAGATAAAACGTTTTTATATTCATGGTTGCATTGCACAGTACATCTCAAATAAAGTATCAACAATTTACACATGCTATGGAATGAAATAATAGATCAATACAGTTTCTATTCATAATTATATAACTTCAAACACATTTAATTTGTAATATTATATAAAGTAATCAATATATTTATTTACTAGTAAATTATAAGTTATATTTCTAAATTGGTGTTTACACGAATTATTATGTAAATACTAAATTATTATTGTAGAATATAAAAAAAGACAAAGAGTGAAAGAGAGTGAGAAAGAGAGAGAGAAAAAAAACAGTAAGTCATAATTTTGTAAATTAAGTACACGCCTAAGAAAGACAGAATGATATTTATTGTACTTACTAAACTAGAAGCTCATGTAACTGGTTGTATGTAATCTTTGAGACATATGTAAGAATATATATTTGAAGTGAAAACTAGTCTTATATTCTCAATCACAGCCACTGAATAGAAAGAAAAATATTTCTAATGCTTCTCAAAGTTTTAACATATATTGTATGCATTTTCTTACTATTTGTTTATATTTTATTATAGCTAATTTCAGCGTACTCAATTTTTTATTTCTATGAATCAGTGAAAATTCTAATCTAGAAAAAAAATTTATTTTGAAGAGAAGTGTCTGTGCAGAACCGTACAGTGTGATATAAAATACTGCAAACCAAAAATATTTATTAAAATTTTTAATTATGATAAATATATCAGTAAGAATGACTTTTTAGTCTATCTTTAAACATTGTACAATAATTATACTCTCTTGATTTTTAAAAACTGTCATTCTTTTTAGAAATTGCTATGAATAATCAAAAAATGTTTTTTCTTTAAATAATTTAAAGCAAAGTAATTTATTCCATACTATATGTAAAATGCTACTTAAAACAATTTATATTTTAATTGAAAATAATATCATTATCTCTTGATAACAGATTTACTATCTTAAATTATATTAAATTTATGTCAAAAAGTAAAACATTTATATATATATTTTCTAATATCACCTTGGTAAGAAATCGACCTATAGACAAAATAAGTTTCTATATTGTATACGTAAATATGTACAAATGGGTATCTGTAGATTTTGCATTCTGTAATTATATAAGGACTTCTTGATAATTATTTCTCGCTCTTGAATCACAAATACTTCTTAATCCATTCGTTGTACTGTATCAGATTAATTTCTTACCTGAAAGCTTAATATCTAATTGAAATGTAGGTTTTAAAAAATTATTAACAAGGGAACAAAAACTGTTCAAAATAATTATGTTTTAATGACTAGTAAACTAGATATCAAGTAGTACTTTTTAAATGTGTTTATAATTTCATTTTTTAATTCTTCCTGTGTAAACTGATAGATATATACTAATGCCATTTCTTTCATTAAATAATTTAAATTAAAAGAAAATGGATTGTTTTAAATAAAATAGGAGTACATAAGTTGTCATTTTATACCTGGTAAAATAAATTTTAAGAAATAAGACTAATTTATCATAACTGTTTTGCATTCATATCTCATTATTGTACTGTGCAATCCTATGTGTAATATTTACAAAAATAAGCATTCCATAAGTGCCACCTTTAGTAACACTTCATATTTTTTTGTTTTAAAATTAAGCCAGAAACTGCTGGCTTTATACATCTTAAAAGTATGCACTGATTTTGTATGTGCATAAATCATTTGAGAATCCAGATCTTTTCTTTAGTCAGGTTTATATATGGGTATTTTTGGAATAAATTCAATTAATAGAACCTGGAATACAAAAGGTGAGAACTAATAAGTGTATGTTTACAAATAAATAGAATCTAGCATTCAAAAATAGTTTGAATCAGTGGTTCTCAACCTTTCCATAAATACATAGTACTGTAATCAGTTTTAAATTTTCAAAATTATCAATGAAAATATAGCTTAGATATAAGTAGAAATTTAGGACTATACAGCAAAAAAGTCTCGGGAGAGAAATAATACAAAAAAAGAATAAAAAAAGAAAAGAAAAAGAAAATAAAAAAAATAGCAATTCAACTATTAAAAATTATATTCAATGACAACAATCTAATAAAACATGGTATATAAATTATTTACATATTATTATCTATCTCTCAGTTACCACTGATGATATATGTATCACTGATTGAGAACCACTAAATTAGACAATGATGTAACTAAAAGTCTAAGCTTATTCATATAATAGGACTTCAAGTATTTATATAATCAGAAAAGTGATTTTGTCCTTTTTTGAAAAAACTGATAATATGTAGCAAAAATTTAAGTTTCATAAATTAATGTAAATAAATTAATTGTAATATATATTAAATGCTTATAAATATAAAAATGAATTCAATTTGTCTTTATATATACTTACGTATTCCATCATGGACGAAGTATCACATCTTTGTTTTGCCAATCTCCAATGTAATCCAAGTTTGTGATACAGCCTACTATTTTCCCACTCCAATAATTTGTTTAATGAATGTTGTGTCTAAAATGGTAAGATACAAATATTTTTATATATCTTATACATTTTATTACAAACCATAGTCATGTTATATGAGATAAGTAAATAGATAAGTAAATATTTACCCTTTTACTCA